TTCATTTTCCAGGAAAACATTCTATTCAAAAAAATGGAATAAAATTGATTATTCTTAGTTTTTTGCAATTTAGGTTCAATTGGTAGTTTTTTTTTAAAGGTTACCAATGTTGTTTTAAGGTAAAAAATTAATAGAGACATGCTGATTAATTTTTTTGAATTTGTAAGGAATTTTTTCATTTTCCAGGAAAACATTCTATTCAAAAAAATGGAATAAAATTGATTATTCTTAGTTTATTGCAATTTAGGTTCAATTGGTAGATTTTTTTTGAAGGTTACCAATGTTGTTTTAAGGTAAAAAATTAATTGAGACATGCTGATTACTTTTTTTGAATTTGTAAGGAATTTTTTCATTTTCCAGGAAAACATTCTATTCAAAAAAATGGAATAAAATTGATTATTCTTAGTTTTTTGCAATTTAGGTTCAATTGGTAGTTTTTTTTTAAAGGTTACCAATGTTGTTTTAAGGTAAAAAAATAATAGAGACATGCTGATTAATTTTTTTGAATTTGTAAGGAATTTTTTCATTTTCCAGGAAAACATTCTATTCAAAAAAATGGAATAAAATTGATTATTCTTAGTTTATTGCAATTTAGGTTCAATTGGTAGGTTTTTTTTGAAGGTTACCAATGTTGTTTTAAGGTAAAAAATTAATTGAGACATGCTGATTACTTTTTTTGAATTTGTAAGGAATTTTTTCATTTTCCAGGAAAACATTCTATTCAAAAAAATGGAATAAAATTGATTATTCTTAGTTCACTGCAATTTAGGTTCAATTGGTAGGTTTTTTTTTAAGGTTACCAATGTTGTTTTAAGGTAAAAAATTAATAGAGACATGCTGATTAATTTTTTTTAAATTGTAAGGAATTTTTTCATTTTCCAGGAAAACATTCTATTCAAAAAAATGGAATAAAATTGATTATTTCTATTCTATTGCAATTTAGGTTCAATTGGTAGGTTTTTTTAGAAGGTTACCAATGTTGTTTTAAGGTAAAAAATTAATAGAGACATGCTGATTAATTTTTTTGAATTTGTAAGGAATTTTTTCATTTTCCAGGAAAACATTCTATTCAAAAAAATGGAATAAAATTGATTATTCTTAGTTTATTGCCATTTAGGTTCAATTGGTAGGTTTTTTTTAAAGGTTACCAATGTTGTTTTAAGGTAAAAAATTAATAGAGACATGCTGATTAATTTTTTTGAATTTGTAAGGAATTTTTTCATTTTCCAGGAAAACATTCTATTCAAAAAAATGGAATAAAATTGATTATTCTTAGTTTTTTGCAATTTAGGTTCAATTGGTAGTTTTTTTTTAAAGGTTACCAATGTTGTTTTAAGGTAAAAAAATAATAGAGACATGCTGATTAATTTTTTTTTAATTTGTAAGGAATTTTTTCATTTTCCAGGAAAACATTCTATTCAAAAAAATGGAATAAAATTGATTATTCTTAGTCTACTGCAATTTAGGTTCAATTGGTAGGTTTTTCTGAAGGTATTACGTGTTGTTTTAAGGTAAAAAAATAATAGAGACATGCTGATTAATTTTTTTGAATTTGTAAGGAATTTTTTCATTTTCCATGAAAACATTCTATTCAAAAAAATGGAATAAAATTGATTATTCTTAGTTCACTGCAATTTAGGTTCAATTGGTAGGTTTTTTTGAAGGTATTACGTGTTGTTTTAAGGTAAAAAAATAATAGAGACATGCTGATTAATTTTTTTTGAATTTGTAAGGAATTTTTTCATTTTCCATGAAAACATTCTATTCAAAAAAATGGAATAAAATTGATTATTCTTAGTTCACTGCAATTTAGGTTCAATTGGTAGGTTTTTTTGAAGGTATTACGTGTTGTTTTAAGGTAAAAAAATAATAGAGACATGCTGATTAATTTTTTTTGAATTTGTAAGGAATTTTTTCATTTTCCATGAAAACATTCTATTCAAAAAAATGGAATAAAATTGATTATTCTTAGTTCACTGCAATTTAGGTTCAATTGGTAGGTTTTTTTGAAGGTATTACGTGTTGTTTTAAGGTAAAAAAATAATAGAGACATGCTGATTAATTTTTTTTGAATTTGTAAGGAATTTTTTCATTTTCCATGAAAACATTCTATTCAAAAAAATGGAATAAAATTGATTATTCTTAGTTCACTGCAATTTAGGTTCAATTGGTAGGTTTTTTTGAAGGTATTACGTGTTGTTTTAAGGTAAAAAAATAATAGAGACATGCTGATTAATTTTTTTTGAATTTGTAAGGAATTTTTTCATTTTCCAGGAAAACATTCTATTCAAAAAAATGGAATAAAATTGATTATTTCTATTCTATTGCAATTTAGGTTCAATTGGTAGGTTTTTTTTGAAGGTTACCAATGTTGTTTTAAGGTAAAAAATTAATTGAGACATGCTGATTACTTTTTTTGAATTTGTAAGGAATTTTTTCATTTTCCAGGAAAACATTCTATTCAAAAAAATGGAATAAAATTGATTATTCTTAGTTCACTGCAATTTAGGTTCAATTGGTAGGTTTTTTTTGAAGGTTACCAATGTTGTTTTAAGGTAAAAAATTAATAGAGACATGCTGATTAATTTTTTTGAATTTGTAAGGAATTTTTTCATTTTCCAGGAAAACATTCTATTCAAAAAAATGGAATAAAATTGATTATTCTTAGTTTATTGCAATTTAGGTTCAATTGGTAGGTTTTTTTTGAAGGTTACCAATGTTGTTTTAAGGTAAAAAATTAATTGAGACATGCTGATTACTTTTTTTGAATTTGTAAGGAATTTTTTCATTTTCCAGGAAAACATTCTATTCAAAAAAATGGAATAAAATTGATTATTCTTAGTTTATTGCCATTTAGGTTCAATTGGTAGGTTTTTTTTGAAGGTTACCAATGTTGTTTTAAGGTAAAAAATTAATAGAGACATGCTGATTAATTTTTTTGAATTTGTAAGGAATTTTTTCATTTTCCAGGAAAACATTCTATTCAAAAAAATGGAATAAAATTGATTATTTCTATTCTATTGCAATTTAGGTTCAATTGGTAGGTTTTTTTTGAAGGTTACCAATGTTGTTTTAAGGTAAAAAATTAATAGAGACATGCTGATTAATTTTTTTTGAATTTGTAAGGAATTTTTTCATTTTCCAGGAAAACATTCTATTCAAAAAAATGGAATAAAATTGATTATTCTTAGTTCACTGCAATTTAGGTTCAATTGGTAGGTTTTTTTGAAGGTATTACGTGTTGTTTTAAGGTAAAAAAATAATAGAGACATGCTGATTAATTTTTTTGAATTTGTAAGGAATTTTTTCATTTTCCAGGAAAACGTTCTATTCAAAAAAATGGAATAAAATTGATTATTTCTATTCTATTGCAATTTAGGTTCAATTGGTAGGTTTTTTTTGAAGGTTACCAATGTTGTTTTAAGGTAAAAAATTAATAGAGACATGCTGATTAATTTTTTTGAATTTGTAAGGAATTTTTTCATTTTCCAGGAAAACATTCTATTCAAAAAAATGGAATAAAATTGATTATTCTTAGTTCACTGCAATTTAGGTTCAATTGGTAGGTTTTTTTGAAGGTATTACGTGTTGTTTTAAGGTAAAAAAATAATAGAGACATGCTGATTAATTTTTTTGAATTTGTAAGGAATTTTTTCATTTTCCAGGAAAACGTTCTATTCAAAAAAATGGAATAAAATTGATTATTTCTATTCTATTGCAATTTAGGTTCAATTGGTAGGTTTTTTTTGAAGGTTACCAATGTTGTTTTAAGGTAAAAAATTAATAGAGACATGCTGATTAATTTTTTTGAATTTGTAAGGAATTTTTTCATTTTCCAGGAAAACATTCTATTCAAAAAAATGGAATAAAATTGATTATTCTTAGTTCACTGCAATTTAGGTTCAATTGGTAGGTTTTTTTGAAGGTATTACGTGTTGTTTTAAGGTAAAAAAATAATAGAGACATGCTGATTAATTTTTTTTGAATTTGTAAGGAATTTTTTCATTTTCCAGGAAAACATTCTATTCAAAAAAATGGAATAAAATTGATTATTCTTAGTTCACTGCAATTTAGGTTCAATTGGTAGGTTTTTTTTTAAGATTATAAATTAATATTTAATTTGTGTTGGGTTACTAAAAATTTGAAACACTTTTTCCCAAAAAAGAGTATTACCTGGAGCAGAGATTTCACTATTGCAGTGAAACTTATCTCTGTTACAGTTAAAGCTTTCTTTTCGTATAGAATAAATTACAAAACTACTAGTACTCACCCAGTACTGAACCAGTAGTGGTGCCAACTCTGGCAGCCAATACTGATAAAATGTTATCATCCCAAAGTTACGCCAACTCTGGCGCCAATACTGGGTGCCAGTACTGCGCCAACACTTGTCAGTACTGCGCCATTAGTAAATTTTTGATTGAGTAAATATATATGTAATTGTAATTTAAAAAAAAGATTTTCCTCATTTTTTAAAGATTTATTTTTGTTTTCCCCCAATGATAAATTAATTATTAGGATCTTATCCGTAACTCGTGATTTCTTATTTGTACGTATATTTTTTTTTCTTCTTCTGAAATATATATTTGATTTTATGGCGGGTTTCTAAAAGGTGGAAAAGTAGCTTTCTGAAGGAAGTAGCCAGCTTCGATAATGGCTTGTCATAATTTCCTATCAGATTCTAGAAAAAGGATGGGATAGTCGTCGTCGTCGTCGTCGTCGCTTTGGCAAAGATCACGTAATGCCATAAGGGTAGTAATGAGTCGAAAAGCGTCAGCAGCATCTAATGTCAGAAATTATAGCATATTGCCAATAAAAACTGACGGGCTACCCTCAAACAAACTATAGCCAAAGAACATTCGTTGAATTGGAGGGTGGCCAAATCTTATTGTAACGAATGATAGGAAAAAAGATGGGGGGGTTCGTTTTAATGTAACTAAATATCAATCGATAAATACTATTCAATTTTTTTCTTTTTTTAATCAAAAATAATTTTTTTGCAAAAACAAGTTTAAGTTTATTAATTACTGTTTATAACAAGGTTTCGAAACTTAAAAAAAAAGAATGGTATTTTATTTTTTTTTATAAAACAATATTTTCCCTAGGAAAAAAAAGGAATATGGAGAAAAAAAAATTTTAACTGTTCCAATTCCAATTGTCAACTATTTGGATTAACGTTGTCGACAATATTGCGATTCATTATATTATTATAAAAGCCATTTTTAATTTTCTCTTCAATAAGAAGTCTGGGAATTATTTTTTTTTACATTGACATGTCTGTGAACTCCAAATTTTTGAACCTTTTGAAAAAAAATGTGATTAGATTCAAAAACTCTTTTTATATCATCAATTACCTTTTGTATGAAGTGATTTTGATTTTCTTTTCTTAAATTTAAATGTCTCGCTAATACTTTTTTTTAGTTGCTTATCGGGTTCTTGAAATGTTAAATATTCTTTGTTTTCTTTTATTACATTAACATCCATTTGTAATTGATCAACAAGTAAATCATACCTTTATTAAAGAGAGAGAGAGAGAAATTAAAAAGATATTCCAGAAAAAAAAAAGAAATAATTTTACCTCTGAATAGTTTCATCTCGATTTTTCTTAATTTCCCCAATTTCTTTATCTTTTAGATCTAAATTTTTTTTTAATTTTATCACATTCGTTAGAATATCTTCATTTTTCTCGTACATGAGTGATAGTAAAGTTCCTTGTTTTTCAAAAATTGATAATTGTGATCGTAAAAAACCATATTCCTGTGCCCAATTTCTATCCATATTATTACGAGATTCTTCAGATCTTGATAATTCAGATTTTATATCATTCATCTTTAATAATGATTCAGAAACAAGATGGCTTAATTCATTGGAATTTTTATAATTTATTGAATTTGTTATTTTTGCCTGATTATAATTTTCTTTAATTAATAATAATTCAGAATCACGTTTAGTAATTTTTTCCCATAAATTCGAAAATTGTGTTAACAATTCTTTTTCTCTTTCTTCAAAAAAAATTTGTAAATCTTGTTTTTCTTGATAATTTCCATCAAGTTTAATTTCAAATTTTTTTATCTATTTAAAATCAAAAAAAAATTAGTTAAAAGAAAATGTAAATAAACAAAAATTTTATACCTTTTCATGAATTTGATCAATTTTTTTCATATCAATTTTCATTTCACTAATCTCTTTATTTAGATGAATAATTATTAAATTCTTCTCAATTAATTCCTGTTCTAATTTTCTTATTTTTGGCACATGTTCAGTGATAATTTTCTGTTCCAATTGTGCTTGATCAATTTTTATTTGATTTCCAAGATTAACAAATTTTTCAATATAATTCTCCAAATCATCGGGTAAAATTGAAATTTCTTCATTAATAAAATTATTTTCAAATTTTTTTTCATAATCATTTATTTTTTCTTTCCAATTTTCAAACATTTTATTATATTTTGTTGATAATTCTTTTTTATCCAAATTCAAACGTTTTAAATCATTATCCTTTGATGCCAATAAAATTTCATATTCTTCCAATTGTTTATAATCAACAGTTGAATTTGTTTCTAATTTATAAATTAAATTTTTAAATTTTTCCATTTCTCGCTGATAATCATCAAGTTTATTTGATTTATTTAAATAATTATCGCCCAATTTTTTGTATTCATATTTAAGTGATTTGATTTTTAATTTAATTTTTTCTAAATCATTAAAATCAACTTGTATTGATTTATCATTATTTTCAAAAATTTTCTTATTTAATTCACTGCTATTTGATGATGTTCTTATTCCTGAATCATCGTCACTTATTCTTAGGCTTTTCTCTGATTTTTCAATTGATGAATCCAAAAAGCTTAGTCTATTTTCTTCTGATGAGAAATCAAGTGTTTCTAAAATTGGAACAGTTATTAATGTTCGAAGTGATATATGTGGTGTTTCTAAATTTTCCTCTTCGATAATTGAAATTTTATCCATGGAAATTGGTGACAATGACACATTATGTAAATGAGAATTTAAATTTTTATCATCAATTGCTAATTCATTGATATTATCATTAATGGAAAAATGTTTTAAATTAGAATTTTCATTAAAATTTTTTATTTCCAATAATTCTTGATTCATTTCATTTAATTTGAATTTTAATTGATTGATTTCTTCATTTTTTTTATTAATCTCATTTTTAAGTTCATTTGTTTCTGTCAAATTTTCAAAATGAAATGATTCCCTATGTTCATTAAAAGAATTTTTTATTTCATTTTGAAATTTTATTTTAATATCATCTAATTCCTTTTTTGTTATTGATAATTCAAAAATTAATTCACTTTTTTTAATATTTAATTTTAAATTTTTTTTCCTTAAATTTTCAACAATTTCATCAAGTGCAATTATTTTTGTTGTTGCTTTTAAATTTTCCTCTTCTAAATATTCAATTGTTGACTCTTCAAAATCACCATGACCATCATGATTATTTAAACGTTTTCGTTTTCGATTTGTCATATTATTAATTTGTTCTTTATAATAATCATCAACTTGTTTAACAGACCATTTTAATAAATCCTCACGTTCCTCATTGAGTTCATCATTTTTTTTTCTCCAATCCATCTCAAGATCATTCATTTTTAATAAATAAATTTCATTTAATTCTTGACGAATTTTCGATTCTTTTTTAAAATTATTATTCTTTAATTCTAATAATTCTTCTAATAATAATTTATTTTCATTTTTTAATTTTTCCATTTTCATATTCTTTGGTGAATTTACTATTAATTTTATTGATGTATTTGATGATAAAATTTTTTCTGAACTAATCCAAGTTGAACTTCGTATTGTTGATTTATTTTTTAAATTTTCTCCAATAATGATTTTATTATTGAGAGTTGAAAAGAAATTCAAGACATTTTGTGTTTCGATATAAAGCTCAGGAGATTTATTAAGATTAACTAAAATAATTAAATTCTCCCTTCCCGATAGAGGATTTTGTAGGTATCTGGTTAAATTTGATTCTCTAAATGGTCCAGTGTTGTTTCGTAAAATTGAATTTCGTTGAATTGTCTTTAGACATCTACCAAGAACTAAAAGACTTGCATTAATGCTTCGTGATTCTTTTATTCTTTGGGAATTTTTTGTCATTTTTAAACCACCACTTCCGGCAAGATCACAAAATGTCAATGTACTAACCTTAAAATTCAAATTCAAAATTAAAATTCAAAATTAAAATTCAAAATTAAAATTGCTTTAATTTAAAAAATACTAACAGATACATCTTGAGGTGATGAATTTTCCGTGTACTTTAATAATGTTACAGTGAAAATGGCATGTGACCTTGAACTTTTTGAATTAATTGCTGTGGATGCAACTTTCAATCTCGATTTACCAGCCATCATAATTTGAAAAGCTTCCTCGGCAGTTGCTGCAAAAACTTTTCTAACTCCCTTCAAATAATTATTTCCCTTTTCATCTGTAACTAACTTCAAATGCACATTCTTACCCTCTTCACTTGTCGTTAATAAGTCAAAAATAGATTCATTATAAATTTCAAAAAATGATATCCAAATTGAATAAAAATAATCATTAAAAATATCTTCATTTTTTTTCATTTTTAAATTTATTTCTAAATTTAAAAAACTATTCACATTCAATTCTCGTTCAATAAATAATTTTTCTTTAATTTTTTTATCAAAAATTTTTTCAATTTCATCAAAATTTTTAACACTATTCATTAAATTATTATTAATTGGCTTATAAATTGATGACACAGTGCTTTCAATATTGAAATAAAGAAATTTTAAACACCTTGGAATTAATCCTAGACAATCATTTAAACCAAAGAGAGAATAAGTTTTACCCGAATTACTTGTACCATAATTCATCAGAGTTAAACTTTCACCTTTTATAAAATTAATTACATTTTGTATTCCAATTTCATTAAAAAATTCATCCTGTGAAATTTCATCGTTAAAAATTTGGGTAAATTTATATTTTCTTAAATTATCATTATTTTTAATTTTTTTCGATTGTCGTGCAATTGATGAAAATAATGTATTATCGTTGATGGGTATTTTTGTTTCAAGATTTGTTTTATTTAATATTGTAAAAATATCATTTTTATTTATTCGTGATGATGTTGAATCAACATTATTTGTTGGTCTTATTTTTAAATATACTTTTATTTTATTTCCATTATTATTTGACAATTCGGAAATTGAATCCAAAGAAATTGATGACGACATTTTTTCTAAATTCACTGAATCATTTTTATTGCATTTTTCAGAATTTCTTTCGATAGAATTAATTACACCTGATTCCATTTTTGACTATTTCTGCAAGGTAGTATTTTTTTTTTGGTTAGATTAATAAAAAAAATTTCATTATTTAAGTAATAGAGGGAAATTAAAAATTTTTAAATGAAAAATACTATACCGTTTAGAGAGAAAAAAATATGTTGAAATAATCTCAAAGTCTGACAGTTGTTATAAAAGGAAAATCCAAAAAGAAATTGAAAACACTGTTCATATGAGAGAATTCTCAATTATTTGTATATATTTTTTTTTTCAGACATCGCGCTAATTTTTTTTCTGTCCTCAATGAAATTACAAATACTATATTCTTATAGAATGATAAAATTATTTTCAAGAAACATTTTTCTTGATAAAGAAACAAATTGTAAACAACGTGAATACAAAACGTTAGTCTTTTTTTTCTCAATATTTTAACACCATTTTACATTTTATTTATTTTTTAATATAAATTAATGAAAGTCAAAAAAAAAATTCCCATTTTAGCTGAAAAATTTTTGTATTTATTTAAATTCAAGTTTAAATATAAAATAATTGTGTTCCTTGCATTGAAACAAATCGATATAATTGTAAATAATTATAATTATAAATCATCAATTATTGAAAGAAATTTTTTTCTAGATATTAAAATAAATGTAACATATTAAATAAGAATAAAAAATAAATATGAAAAAAGAATTAATTATGATGGCTATTAATATATAGGGGATTCAAAAATTGATGCGGGTAAATACATCGATCACATATTATCTTTGATGACTAACGAATTATGAATATAACGACAGATGTGAAAATTCTTTTATGCCATAGTAAAAATGAATGACCCTTTAAACAAAATCGATATAATTGAGAATATTGTGATGATAGGGATCTGTTAACTAATATATATATATATATATCAAATGAGTTTTAAAAATGAATTCCAGCCCTTGTTTATTACCCTAATGACGCCAACTGTCATCCCTTTGACTTTTGTCCTTTATCTTTATTAATATATACACAAAAAAAAAAAAATTTTAATTGACACAAGAAAATATTAGTTTAAGAATCTTTTAAAATTTTCTATATTTTCACATTTGCATGATTTAGTTTTTATTTTCTTGTTCATTCAGGAAATCAATTAATCAGTAGAACAAACGGTTGAATTATGATGTATGCAGATAGAAATCTTTTCATTGTTATATGTGGTAACTTTATGCCCGATAAATGAGGAGATAAAAAAAAAAGAATCATCATTATACGATGAGTAAGAATATCATTAAGATCAAAAAGTAGTTTCTCAATAGTAATAATAAAATATTTTATTAAATGGAAAGTTAATGGAATTCAGTTTTTTTTTCGAAAAAGTCACTTCCCATCATCTACGGAAATGATATTTCCTTAATCATTAGGTCGTTGACTTGAAAATGATAATATTTAAAATTTACCTAAATTATTATTAAAGGAAAGAAAAAAAAAATTTCCTATGATTGAATAATTAAAAATATTTATCTTCTCCCTTGAAATTAACTTTCCCAAAGGAACATTAATTATTCTTTTTCGATTACTTGGAGCATTATCCCCCTCCTCGAATTATTTATTTCCTTTCTTTTTTAGGATGTTAAAGACATTCGTAAAAAAAAAAAACTGGAAACATTATTCGCGATACGATTATCATATTTATAAATAGCTAATCTCTCTCTCGTTTGTGTACAGCTTTCTCGTCCCACCTCCAATTTGCTTGGATCCAAAGCTGATGAAAGGGTCTTGTTAATTGGGAATACTGATGCCAGCACGAAGGACTATTGGATCGATCCCCTTTTTCCTCCACCGTTGGTCCTCCACCACCACCACCACCACCCCCCCAACCTCCCCCTTGCCACATTGGGTGAAAGATCCTTGCATTGGATAAGGTTCGTAGGACGACGTCAAAGGGACCTTATTTATGAGACTTTCGGCAAACAAATGGATAAATCTAATATCTTCATCCGCGTGGGGTTGAGAATGTTCCTTAAAGAACCTTGCAACAAGACAGAGGAGAAAGAGAGACTGATCTTCCAAAGAGAGAGGGTGGTAATCCCAAAATTTCGCGATACCTTTCCATTTTAGTCGCAACGATCGGCACACCCTTTGACTCCCATCATCGTTTATTATTTCCCTTAAAAAACTTTTTTTTTTTTTTTTTATACCCAAAAGAAGCTAAATTATTTCAGGGGGTCGATTACGTAACTTTTCCACTTCCCACATCTCACTTCCCACATTTTACATCCCACTTCCCACATCTGACTTCCTACATTTTACATCCCACTTCCAATATCCCACATCTCACTTCCTACATTTTACATCCCACTTCCCACATTTTACATCCCACTTCTCACTTCCCACATTTTACATCCCACTTCCCACATCTCACTTCCAACATTTTACATCCCACTTCCCATATCCCACATCTCACTTCCTACATTTTACATCCCACTTCTCACTTCCCACATTTTACATCCCACTTCCCACATCCAACATCTCACTTCCTACATCTCACTTCCCACATTTTACATACCACTTCCCACATCCCACATTTTACATCCCACTTCCCACATCTCACTTCCAACATTTTACATCCCACTTCCCATATCCCACATCTCACTTCCTACATTTTACATCCCGCTTCTCACTTCCCACATTTTACATCCCACTTCTCACTTCCCACATTTTACATACCACTTCCCACATCCAACATCTCACTTCCTACATCTCACTTCCCATATTTCACATCCCACTTCCCATATCCCACTTGCGATAAATCACATGCCACTTTCCACATTTTACATCCCACTTCTCACATCTCACTACGCATCTTTCACATACCACAAATGTGGGAAGTGAGATGTGGAATGTGAAATATGGGAAGTGGGATGTGGGAAGTGGGATATGAAAAATGGGAAGTGAGAAGTGGGATGTGAAATATGGGAAGTGGGATATGAAATATGGGAAGTGAGAAGTGAGATGTGAAATATGGGATGTGGGAAGTGGGGTGTGAAATATGGGAAGTGGGATGTGGGAAGTGGGAAGTAGGGTGTGAAATATAAGAAGTGGGATGTGGGATGTGAAAGATGGGAAGTGGGATGTGGGAAAGTTACGTAATCGACCCCTAGTATTTAAAAATTTTTGTTTTCCTATAATCAGCGTTTAGGAATTTTTCCAATGATCTGAATTGATTTAAATAAAGAAAAATTTATAACGGTTTAATTTTTGGACCCTCAAGAATTTACTGAACTCGATCTTTTTTTATATGAAAAATGGAAGAATCAGGAGGTTCATTATAGAGTCGATGTAAAACAAAACAAATTTTTTTTCCCGGTTTTGATTTTTAGATCCTTTGGATCAGTCAAAAATTTATTTAGCTTCATCATCTTAAATTGATGGACCAATTATAATTTTTTATAGACTGGGTATAAAACAAAATAAATTTTTTATATTTTTTGGATCCATTTAATTAGGCATAAAAGTTCATTTTGTATTCTTTGAATTAGCCAAAAATTTATTTAGGTTCGTTATTTAAAATGGCTGAACCAAATAAATAATTATTATTATAGACTCGATATAAAACAAAACAATTTTTGTTTCTGTTTTGCTTTTTGTATTCTTTAAATTATAGCCAAAAATTTATTTAGGTTCCTTATTCAAAACTGCGTGATCAAGTAATTTATTATAGACTCGATATAAAACAAAATTTTTTTTCCCCGTTTTGATTCTTGAATCCTTTGAATTAACTAAAAATAAATTTTTGGTCCCTCATTCAAATTATTTATTATAGGTAGACTCGATATAAAATAAAACAAATTTTTTTCCGTTTTGATTCTTGAATCCTTTGGATTAACCATTAATTAATTAGGTTCCTCATCCAAAATTTGCTGGATCAAATTATTTGTTATAAACTCCGATATATAAAACAAAACAATTTTTGTTTCCGTTTTGTATTCTTTGAATTAGTCGAAAGTTTATTATAATATTTTAATATTTAAATATTTTATTTAATATAAAGAAAAACAATTTTTGTTTCCGTTTTGTATTCTTTAAATTAGTCAAAAATTTATTTAGGTCCCTCATTCAAAATTTGCCGAACCAAATTATTTATTATAGCCCCAGGTGAAAAAATTAACGTTACTAACGTTACTAATGTTACTAACGTTAGTACCTAGAAAAAATTAAGAGTTTCTAAAATATATTTTCACAGAAACTTTGCCACTACTTTCCCATTACCACTTTCACTTCCACTTAAACTTTTTATAATTTTCATTCCCATTTCTACTTCTACTTTTTCTAGTTCTCATTCGCACTTCCATTCTCACTTCTACTCTTTCTAATTCTCATTCCTACTTCACTTCCACTTTTTCTAATTCTCCTTCACACTTTCACTTCCACTTGTTCCAATTTTCATTCCCATTTCATCTTCCACTTTTTTATTTTCATTACAACTTTTTTATATTTTTACTCCCATTTCCATTCCTATTTTTTAAATTTCCATTACCACTTTCACTTTTTCTAATTCCCATCCATTGTAATTAAAAAAAGTGGAAATGGTTGTGTAAATGGAAACTAGAAACAGTTTTAGTCAAAATGGCAACAGCTAATGAAAATTAGAAGTGGAAAAAATGGGAGTAGAAGTGGGAATGAAAATTAGAAAAAGGGAAGTAGGAATAAAAATTAGAAAAAGTGGAAGTGGTAATGAAAATAAAAAAGTGAAAATTGGAATGAAAATTAGAAAAAGTGAAAGTGGAAGTGAAAGTGGAAATGAGGATTAGAAAGAGAGGAAGTAGGAATGGAAGTGCGAATGAGAATTAGAAAAAGTAGAAGTGGAAGTGGTAATGTAAATAAAAAAGTGGAAGTGAAAATGGGAATGAGAATTAGAAAAAGTGAAAGTGGAAACGGTAATGAAAATAAAAAAGTGAAAGTGATAATAGGAATGAAAATTATAAAAAGTGCGGGTAAGAACATTAAATACTTCCTGGTGATCGATTTTCGACAAGTTTCTGCACAAATACAATGTAGAAACACTTTCTTAATTTTTTTATAGGTACTAGCGTTAGTAACATTAGTAACGTTAGTAATATTAGTAACGTTAGTAATGTTAATTTTTCTACCTGGGAGACTCGATATAAAACAAAACAATTTTTGTTTCCGTTTTAATTTTTGAAATCACTGGCCAAAGGTATCTACTTTGGCTTATAAAGAAGATTAACTTAAAGAAAATTTAACAGCATCCAATGAATTCTTCTCTCTTTCTTATCCTATATAGAG